CCCTGGACGCGGCCCGGGCCTGCCCGAGCCCCCCCGGCGCTCCAGGCCGCAGCCCGCCTCCGACCCCTCCGGCCTCCGCGCCCTCGGCTCTGCTCCGCCAGGGCGCACCCAGGCCGCGGACCCCAGGCGGACCCCGGCCGATCCCGGCGACGCGCAGCCGGCACCCGCGTGCAGGTCCAGTTCAGGACCGAAAGGACGATCTCGGGTCCCCAGCCAGCCCGGCCCGCGACGTCCCGGGCCGCGTGGGTGCTGCCCCGGCTCGGCCAACCGGGACCACTGGACAGGACACGCGGGCGCAGCTCCGCGGAGCTCGGCAACCTGGCCCGGGTGCCCAGCAGGACACGGCCCGCAGGGGTCCCGCGCCTGTCCCAGGCCCCAGCTCTGTCGCCCCAGGACAAACTTTCCATTTTACAGAGCTTACGCCCCCCTTTCCTTCCCCTCTGCCCGCAGCCCCCTTTTGTGGCTCTGGGTAGAAAGGCCCTCTGGCGACCCAGCTGGGGTCGGCCAGTGCGGAGACCCCGACCCCGGCTGGGGACCCTCCGCCCCGTCCCGCGCCTCCTCTCGCCCGTCCCCAGCTCACTTCTGCCGGGTCCTCCCGGCCCCACTCCCCGGCATCCCCCGGCGCGGGCGGTGGGCGCGGGCGCAGAGAGAGCGCCTGTCCTCCAGCCGCGCGCCCCACCAGCTTTCACTCTTGCTCCCCATCCTCTGCTTCCCTCTTCCTCTGCCCCAGTTCGTCACCCCTCCACCTCTGCAGCTCCCCTTCCTCCCCCCCTCCTCTCCTCCGTCCCTTCCCTCTCCCCCCCCCCTCGCCTTCCTCCCTCTCCCCCTGCCCTCTCCCCTCCCCCGGCCTCCCGCTCCTCCTCCCCGTCTCCCCTCCCCTGCGCGGCCGCGAGGAGGAGACAGGCGCCGTTGTAGTTTTAAATTCAATGTGACAGTTTCGGAAAGAGCGGATGATGAATCTCTATTATTGGATCAGTCTATTTGCCGCTCAATGTCTCTCTGTAATTGGAGCAACATCACTTTAAAGGTTCAGAGAGTACAGCATTTCTGGTGAAAAACCCCCGCAACACGCCGGCGAGTGTTTTAAAGGGAAATCTATTAGTGGCGCGGGGGCGGGCGGTGCGCGCGGGGCGCGGGGCGCACGGGCCGGGCCGGGCGGGGTGGGGGGCGCCCCGACCCGCGCGCCCCGCCCCCCTTGTTGTGACAGCGCCCGATCCTGTTTATTGAGGTGCACGTCAGGTATAATTAGCCATCGATATGGAGAACGGCTCCCCGCGCCCGGCACGCCTCTGACGTCAGAGCCGATTAGCGCTCCTTATTGGTCCCCAATTCCCCGGGCCGCGGCTAATTACTGGGAGCTTGATGTTGATAAAGTAAAGCGCCGGCGCGCGGGCGAAGCATGTGCGGGGCTCCGGGTCCCTGTCTCCGCCGTCGCCGCCCGCACCTCCCGCCGCCGCCGCCAACGGCCCGCCCCGGCCCCGGCCCGCGCCCCCGCGTCCCGCCGGCCCCCCGCGCGCGATGATGGACGGCCGCCTCCTGGAGCACCCGCACGCCCAGTTCGGGGGCTCGCTGGGCGGCGTGGTGGGCTTCCCCTACCCGCTGGGCCACCACCACGTGTACGAGCTGGCCGGGCACCAGCTGCAGTCGGCCGCCGCCGTGCCCTTCTCCATCGACGGGCTGCTCAGCGGCTCGTGCGCCGCGGCCGCCGCCTCGGTGGTCAACCCCACGCCGCTGCTGCCGGCCGCCTGCGGGGTCGGCGGCGACAGCCAGCCCTTCAAGCTGTCAGGTAGGCGCGCGGGGGGCCGGGAGGGGCGCGCTCGGCGCGGAGAGGGGGCCCCGGCCCGGGCCGGCGGCTGAGGCGCGCGGCGCTGCCCTCTCCAACACCCTGTGCGTGCCCGCAGACTCGGGGGACCCGGACAAGGAGAGCCCGGGCTGCAAGCGGCGGCGCACCCGCACCAACTTCACGGGCTGGCAGCTGGAGGAGCTGGAGAAGGCGTTCAACGAGAGCCACTACCCGGACGTTTTCATGCGGGAGGCGCTGGCGCTGCGCCTGGACTTGGTCGAGTCCCGCGTGCAGGTAAAGGCAGGCTGCTCGGGGTCCGCGTCCGGCCGCCGCCGCCAGGTGCCCTGGGTTCAGCGCGTCCTCGGGATGCCCGCGCTCCCGTCGGCGTGTGTGTGCGCGCGCGCGCTCTCGTGCGTTGGGGGCTCGGCTCGTCGCCAGGAGGGAGAGGCCGGTTTGCCTTCCCCGCAAAGGCCGCGGCGGTGGGGGGGAAGGCGCGGCCCGCGGCGGCTGCAACGGCTGCGTATGAGCCGGGACGCGGCGGCGGTGCGGAGGGGCCGCGCCAGCGATGGCGCCAAGTGCGGGCCCGGCTCGGATGGCGGGGGAAGAAGGCGGCCTGGGTCCCCGCGTCTGGCGCGAGGCTCCTTTCCCGGGCCTGGCGCGCTCCGATCTGTTTACCTTTCGCCTGCAAAACACCCAGATGGAGCGATCTGTACCCCGCGTTTCACAGAAGGGGACAGCGAGCGAGGGGTGGGGGCGCCGCGCCAAGCGGCAGGAGCCTCTGCCTTCTCCCCCGGCTCTCTCCCTCCAGCGTCTCCCCCGTGGGGTTTTGTTCAGGGGAGGGCCGGCGGTGTGCTTTGCAAGCAGTCACAGCGTCGATTGCGCGGATTAAAAATTGCCCTTGGCGCGCGGATAACGAGAGGTTTCCCTGGGGCTCGGAGCTCCGTGTCCCGGGCGGCGGAAGCGGCGGTGGGCGCGACGCGACGGGCCTTGTGGGCCGCGGGGCTGGACGCGACCCTGGTCCCGCGCCTGTTTGCTACCAGCAGCTTTGGCTCTCCAAGTGTCTTCCTTCCGCGGCGTGGCCTCGCGCGCACGAGCGAGCTGTTGTGTTCGGAGATCCTTATATCCAGTTGTGTGGAGGCATGCACCCGTTTCCTTCGAGAGGAATTCTTGGTGGGAAGGCGGCCTGTAATTCACACTGCCTTCCCACCCCACCCCCACCCACACACGCACAAAAAAGTTTTTAAAAATCCGGCAGTCACAGCTTTCAGATGACTGGGCCGGGTGCCTGGGACGGGGCAGGGAGTCGGGGCTCCCTACCACAGGCCGGCCAGCTATTGTGCCGGACTCTGGGCAACAAAGACTCAGAATTGGGGTGCTGGTGGCCCGGCTCTGCCACCTGAGATCCCACACGCTTTTCTGCGATGGCTGCTGGTGCCGCAAAAGCCAGTGGCTGCTGCTCCCCCAGCCCCTTAAGGTCCCCCAAGTTAAGAGAAGCGCAGAAGCCCAGGGCCGGGCCACCAGCAGCTTTCCCTCCCTGCTGGCCTTGCTAGGTGGCCCTGGGGAGGCAGGCCTGGGCTCCAAGAAGCGAGGGAGGGTGCTTGGGGAGCCGGGGACCAGGCCCACCCAACGCTGGCCCGTGGAGGGGGGATTCAAGGGGATCCCAACATTTCACTGACGGTCCAAGGGGTTTGAAGACCCGGCTGCAGGGCGGACAGGCCCAGTCGCAGCGGCCCTCCCTCGCCAGGGATGGCGAGCGCCAGGCCAGGCGGGCAGCTTAGAACAGGAGCAGCGACGAGCTGCGAAGGGCCAGCCTGGGCCCTGCTCTGCCTACGACCTGGACCCCGACGCGCTGGGCCAGGGGCCAGACCGGCCTTACCCACGGAAAGGGCTGCTCCCAGGCCCGAGGTGAGACGCCAGAGCGAGAAGCTGACCGGCAGGCCCATGTGCGTGCGACTCCAGGGCGGAAGAGGCGCCGGCGGGAAGCCGCAGTCCGCCAGCCCAGCGCGGACAGTGGCGGGCCCTTCGGGGTGGGGAGGCGGCGGCCCGCTGCAGGCCCGCCGCCTGACCGTGCCTTCCTTTCCCTGTCCGGCCGCCCTAGGTCTGGTTCCAAAACCGCCGCGCCAAGTGGAGAAAGAAGGAGAACACCAAGAAGGGCCCGGGCAGGCCGGCGCACAACTCGCACCCGACCACGTGCAGCGGCGAGCCCATGGACCCCGAGGAGATCGCGCGCAAAGAGCTGGAGAGGATGGAGAAGAAGCAACGCAAGCGCGAGAAGAAGCTGCTCAAGAGCCAGGGCCGCCAGCTGCACTCGCCCGGCGGCCTCTCCCTGCACAGCGCGCCCAGCTCCGACAGCGACAGCGGCGGCGGCGGCCTGTCCCCGGAGCCGCCCGAGCCGCCGCCGCCACCGCCGCCGGCCGCGGCCAAGGGCCCCGGCGCTCACGCAGCGGGCGCCCCGGGCTCGGCGCGCGCGCCTCCCGCGGAGCCCCCGGCGCCCGGCAACTGCGACCCCGCCTTCTGCCCGAGCCAAAGACGCAGCGCCGGCCCGCAGCCGCGGCTGGGCCGCCCCGCCGAGCAGGACGCGGCCGCGGCCTCGTGCGCGCCCGGAGCGGCGGCGGCGGAGCGCGGCGCGGCGGGCCCGGCCAAGGCCAGCCCGTTCAGCGTGGAGAGCCTGCTGTCAGACTCGCCGCCGCGCCGGAAAGCCGCCGCGGCCACGGCCGGGCTGGACTTCGCGCCGGGGCTGCCGTGCGCGCCGCGGACCCTCATCGGGAAGGGCCACTTCCTGCTCTACCCGATCACGCAGCCTCTCGGCTTCCTGGTGCCGCAGGCCGCGCTGAAGGGCGGCGCGGGCCCGGAGCCCGCACCCAAGGACGCGCCGCCCGCGCCGGCCAGCTTCGGGGCCTTGGCGGGGCCCGGCGGCGCTCCGGACTCGGCCTTCGCGCGCCGCAGCCCCGACGCCGTCGCCTCCCCGGGGGCCCAGGCCGCTCCGGCGCCGTTCCGGGACCTCGCCCCGGCCGCGACCGCCGAGGGCGCCGGCGGGGACGGCGCGGACGCGGGCAGCACGTGCCCCGCGGCCCCGCCGTCCCCGCCGCCGTTCGCGCCGTCGCCCGGGCCCGGGGCGCCCAGCCTCGCCGCGGAGCCGGCCGCCTGCGCGCCCCTGGAGCCGGGCGCGGCGGCCGGTGCCAGCCCGCCGGAGGGCGAGGACGTGGACATGGACTGA